GGGGGGGGGGGCGGTGTGGAGCGGAGGGTTTGAGAGGGCGGGTTGTGAGGAAGGAAGTCCAGCAGCAGCAGAGGGGCACACACGCTTCTGCGGCCAGACTGAACGTCGCGGCGAGGCGGCCGGCTTGCAGCATGCTCAGGGCGTGGTGGGCTGCCAAGAGCGTTTCTGTGGAGCGGCTGCAAGCAGCGAGCCCTGCCGTGCGGGTGTGTCGGGCGCACCCAATGAGAAGATGTCAGACTTGGGGCCAAACCGCCCTGTGCGCAGGTACTCTGGTGACGGTGATGAGGGCCATTGGGGGGGGGGGGTGCGGAAAAGAGGGACCCTTTCAGGGATAATGTTTGGAAAGGGGAGGGAGGGGGCTTTGGTGGGGATCAAAGGGAGACTGCCTGCCAATAGCTGCAAGAGCCAACTTCTGAGCAGCAGCCCCACGTCGTTGGTGGGCTGAATCCCTTGATCGGCGGTGAATGCGGGTTCAGCACTGCTGCGCGGCGATGGGCGGTCTCGCTCAGCCGTTGCCGTAGCGGTGAAACGTGGTGTCATCCGTTCTCCCCACCCCATCGCAACCCATGTTTACCCCTGACCCTACGCACACACCCGACCCCCCCCCCCCCCCACCTCTTTCAGATACACTTCGCGCTCTCCCCACACACCGTCCACCCCACACACCACGCTCCATCCACCCACCCGGGTCCATGAATGATGGCGTCCCCACGAGCCGCGTGTCCATCACGGTGGACTGCCCCCCGCCAGGCACCAGGGAGGGCGCTAGCCGGCTGAGGCCGACGTCGCCAATTTTGCTGGTCAGGTTGCGCGACAGCAGAATGTTGGCCTGCGGGAGTGCCAACAAACAGGGTGGCGCGCAGGGCCGAGGGGCCGGTTGGGTGCTTTCGTGACGCGGGCTAAGCGCCTGCTTGAACGCTGAGCCACGGGCTCGGCGGTCGGCAGGCCCGCGCCTGCTTGTGCGCCACAAGCAGCAGACGCCCCGGACGCGCTCCGCGCGGCGGGGCCGTAGCTTTGCTACCCCCGGCCGGCCCCGCCCCCAGCAGCACTCGGGCCCCAGAGGGTCCCTCCGGCACAGCACAACCACCCAAGACCCCATGGCCAGCCCCACCCAACCCATCAGGAATGATCCAGGGTGTATTCATCAAGATTCAGCCATCAAGGTTGACCCTTCAACCCATATATTCTCAACCCATCAAGGGTTGACACATCAACATTGATGGTTCAACATTCCTGATGCACCAACAATGACGATTGACCCATCCAGCATTGACTCGTCAAGCGTTGACCCAGCAAGCGTTGAACCATCAAGGCTGACCCATCAAGCATTGAACCATCAAGGATCTACGCATCAAGGATTGACGCATCAAGAATCGAACCATCAGGGATCGACCCATCGAAAACTTAACGCAAGGGGCAACCCACCGGCTTCAGGTCCAGGTGAATGATGGGCTCTGGGGCGCTGTGCAGGAACAGCAGCGCGCTCGCCACCTCGGCGGTGATGCGCACGCGGTCCTGCGGGGGTGGGGCAGGCGGGGTAGGGCGGTGGGGTGGGGTTGGGCGGCATCAGGTTTCTGCAGAACGGCCTGAGCAGCCAAGCCCAGGCCTCATGGCCTACATGACCCTCAATAATCCAACATCTGGCTCCGGGCGAGAGCAAGATGTTAGCCTCCACCAGCGACCGGTGGGAGGGGCCCTCCCATGTTAGCACGTGGCTTGAGGAGACTGCCAAGGGCTGAGGCGGAGCAACTCGGCCGGCCAACAAGCATCAAAGCGCCTGGAAAAGCAAGTCAACACCCTTTGACGTCTTCTCAGCGCCGCACGCTCTCGCTTCCAGACATGCGCACACGCTCCGCGAGCGCTGTCCTTCCGCGGGCGCGCGTGGGCGACGCACACCACCCGCGCCTGCGCGTGCAGGGCCCACACTCCGCAACCGACGGTGTGCCTTTTCCCGCTGTTGGAATTCGACGCACAATCAATCACCCAAGCAAACAACAAAAGACCGCACGAGACTGTGCATGCCTGCCGCACCTGCGGCAGCAAGTGTGGGCCCATGTATGTTCCCCAGTGCACATGCTTCTCACACACAAGCACGCACAAGCACTCGCCAGCATGCACAAGCACGCGCCAGCAACGGCCCCAGTTTGCAAGCAAGCAGATTCTCCTGCAACTGCATGTGTGTGTGCACTCTGCTTGCAGCAGCATTCTGATCAACAAGCAGAGTTCACTTACAGCAGGCCTTTCCACGCCCCTATCTGCACCCCTTCCCACACAGGCGTGCCCATACCAATGCACGGCCACCAGCCACAGGTGGGCGGTGCATTCCCACAGCCCACCTACGGCAGCAGGTCCGCTGCGCTCCTCCAAGTCAACCTCAATATCTCAAGCACACCCAGAACCCCTAAGCCCAGGCATGCATGCGGTGGCGGGGCCCTGACGCTCTGCACACGAAGGCACCCCTGTGTGCACCTGTCACAGCACGTCCTCCCCCCTCCCCTCCACCATTCTGCCCCAGCACAAAAACACCCCCCCCCCCAATCCCGCCAACACCTACGCCCCACGCAAATGCTCATTAACCCACCTGCCACAGCAGGTCGTCCCCCCTGCTGCCCAGTATGTGCTCCTCCAGGTTCCCGTTGTCCAGCAGCTCGTACACCAGCATGCAGCACGCGGGGCACACCCCTATCAGCAGCACGATGTGGGGGTGGTGCAGGCGCCCCAGGATCTGGGCCTCCTGCAAGAATTCAACCTCCCCCTGGGGGTTTGACGTTGTGTTTTTGGGTGTGTGGGAGGGTGGTGAGGGATTCCAAGGATAAGGGCACTGTAAGTAGGGGGCTCGAAATGTGACAAGCGTTCGTGTTCGAGAAGGCAGGGCAGCGAGAGGTTGGGTTCAGAAGGGAGGGGGTGCAGGAGTTTTGGGTGCGCCGGGAAGGGGGGGAGAGAAGGTTCGAGGGGGCCAGGGGGTGCGACAGCGCCACCGGTCGCACGGCAGGATAAGGAGGGGCGAAAAGCGGCCGCGAGGCGCGCTGAGGGCGCTCCGTCAGCAGGGGTGGCGTGTTGAGGGGTGGGGCCCAGAGAGGTCGGGGTGGCGTCCCGAGCAGGCGCGCGCCCGCGGCCACCCAGACGCGGGCAAGCCCCGGCGCCGCGCGCCCCGCCCCCACCTGCATCGCGCCCTCTGACGTGTCCAGGCACTTGACCGCCACGGGCAGGCCGTCCAGCAGACCCTTGTACACGGGGCCGTACCCGCCAGAGCCCAGCTTATTGGAGTCGCTGAAACCCTGGTGGGGTCGGGGTTTTGAGGGCCAGGGCGGTTTGGGGGAAGTTTGAGAGGTGCGATCTCCCAAGAAGACGCTGAGGGATCAGTTGTTTTACGGGGGTATGGGGTTGTTATCGAGGGGGATGCGAGGGCAGGTAAGGGGGAGTGAGAGGCTGAGGCAAGAGCGTGGCGGTAAATTCCGGGACAAGGATTATTGGACGGAGGGGGGGCAGTAACCCCCCTCCCCTTTCATGTGCAGGCAAAGCAGGGCGCAGCGGCGGGGGGGCGGCGGCGCAGGCGTGGCGCCAACCAGGGTGGACCGCTCGCTGGCACATGTCGGCAGCAAGCCGTCCCCACGTTTTCCGCCAACCGCCGCCGCACAGCAAGCGGCCGCGCGCCCCTCCCAGCTACAGTTGGGCCCCTCGCCCCACAGCAGCTTTCCCTCACAGACACAGAGCCCCTCACGTTGGTGGCCTTGAAAAGCTCCTCATATGTATAGTGCCGATTCGACGGCTCCGCCGCGCCCGACCCCGACCCTGACCCACCGCCGCCGCCGCCGCCGCCTGCAGGGCGCCCCGCATGGGACCGTCGCAAGTTGGGATCTGACCCGCCCGCC